CAAAGCTGGTCAGGCTGGGAAAAGCTTGGAGCTACAGCAGCCGTGGATGCATAAGGATTATGTTGCCAACATGGGGGGAGTAGACACGGCTGACCAGCAGAATGGGTCCCACACCCATGACCACAAGTCGTACACGAACCACTGGCGACGAGTGATGGAGGGCAAGTTTGAGCAGACGTTCACCAACATTTTCGTGATGTTCAAAAAGTACGTGTCCCTCTTGGAGGATCAGGCCAACAAGAGAATCAAGGGAGGAGGCCTAGAGCTTGAGGTGGTGGAGAAGTTGGATAGGGTGTTGGTCGAACTGGGCAGGTTGGCCAAGATGGAGAGGGCGGTCTGGGACGAAATGTTGTCGACGGAGCTCATGGCGAGGTGCAATGTTGGTAGACCGAACAAGGGGGGGAGACCGGCGGCGGTGACGGGTGCCCCGGACAAAGTGTGGGGGAGCATTTCGGTGAAGACTCAACGCAAATGCATGCACCCCGGATGCAAGAGTAAGACATCGAAAGGATGTGCCTGCGCGGAGCTTTGTGTTGGCAAACAGGCAGGGGACCGNCTGATGTCGACGGAGCTCATGGCCAGGTGCAATGTTGGAAGACCGAACAAGGGGGGGAGACCGGCGGCGGTGACGGGTGCCCCGGACAAAGTGTGGGGGAGCATTTCGGTGAAGACTCAACGCAAATGCATGCACCCCGGATGCAAGAGTAAGACATCGAAAGGATGTGCCTGCGCGGAGCTTTGTGTTGGCAAACAGGCAGGGGACCGGGGTGTTTTGATGTGTCAGGCATGCTTCAAAAACCCTGTGAGGCACGCTAGGGCTGGAGATGCTCAACGGAACCCCCAGAAGTACGGGGTGGTGGGACGCAAGGACCTCGTCTGGTGGTCGTGAGCGCATATTTTTTTGGCCTAATGTTTTACGTTGAATGTGACATGTGTTCCTGGCGGAGGAGACGCCGATGTGTTTCGAGGGTGCTCCGTTGTGATTTGCCTGGGGGTCAAACTGATCTTACAAGTGCATAGTAGTGTCGTTCATCAACCATCTTCCCTTCCGCGAGGGAGTTGTTGTGCCTTTATCGTCCACTTGTGTTTTCTTGAAAACAACCGTGGACGAGTGATAGTTTTTGTGCCTTCGTCGTTTACCTGTGTTGCTGATAACAGCAGTGGTATAGCTTTTTTCAATTTTATTTGATCTTGTCTCCGATTTTCTATAAGTTCAGAAAAAGGCGTATTATTTTTCTCCGGCTCGAACGCAGCATTCATACAAATACGCTCAGAAACAATAGCTTTTTCGACTGCGAGTCTTAAATTCAGGTAATCTTTTTGATAAATTTTTCCCACTGAAATAAGCTCACATCATACACCCTCAAATATCACGACAGGACGACATCCGAAATGGCCGCTGGCACGGGTTCATCCCCCGGCCACACCGCGCGGCACGCCTGCGTGAAGCAGTCACTCCTCGTGATCTGCATGCCACGACCCCTTGCATTCATCTGAATGCTCGTGTCGAACGAAGCCTGCACGTTGTGGACGGTTAAAACATGGAAGTCGGGTTGTCGGTTACAGAGTGTACTCCAGTTCTTTGGGGGAAAACGGAGAGCTAACGAACGACAGCATCGATAGCCTGTGAGAGACGGACGCGTACACGCAATGTGGACGTTCCTCCTTTCGGACTACATAAAGGATATTTTCGGTCCCTCGACAACGGCGTTACTCCTTCTGCCTTGAACAGAGAAAACTTTGAAGATTTCGTGACTACGACGTACTCTCCCCGTTCCATGATACGGAAGATACCACCCTATCTCTCGGCATGCCCCGGGGTATCGACGTGTTGGGCACCATATGCATGTGTTTCAACAGCATTGCTGGAGCATTCTGTTAGGGTTGGGGGTAGACTCGCCGACGTCGCTCATCCCTCTCTCCTTTTCACTTCGTGTGGCCACGACTTCGCTCTCGCAGCTGCGTTTATCCACGACATACAGCATTTTCGTTTAAGTTCGAAAGTGACTTAACTCTACATTCACCCAGTCTAGACAAATGAAGCACTGCTCAAGACACACACAGACATACATGTGTATCGCCGTCCTTGCATCCTACAGCAGCTGCCATGGGCACGCCNCATGTGTTTCAACAGCATTGCTGGAGCATTCTGTTAGGGTTGGGGGTAGACTCGCCGACGTCGCTCATCCCTCTCTCCTTTTCACTTCGTGTGGCCACGACTTCGCTCTCGCAGCTGCGTTTATCCACGACATACAGCATTTTCGTTTAAGTTCGAAAGTGACTTAACTCTACATTCACCCAGTCTAGACAAATGAAGCACTGCTCAAGACACACACAGACATACATGTGTATCGCCGTCCTTGCATCCTACAGCAGCTGCCATGGGCACGCCTGCAACCGTCACAACATGCAGCATGTTTTGATTTCGAGAATGTACTGCTGTACCTACAGCAAGTGTTGCTTCCTCTTGTAGCAAGATGAGGAGATATGCTACGTAGAAATGAGACGTACAAGTATGGAATGGATATGGATATGCGTAGACTACCGTATGTGACACAAGATAACACCCCCTGGACCGATTTTCAAAGCTCGATTACTCGACGATGAAGACAATTTAGGGTTCCCACCTGTGCTTTTTTTGACCTGAAATTTTGACACGAGCGGTTTTTTTGACCCGAGAGGTTACGCCGCCTCTTTCGGGTCAAAATTTCCAGGTCAGATTTTCCTGGAAGACGTGTCAAAATTCGGGGCAATTTTTTTTTTTGACACGAGGTGCCCCCGAAGCCCCCACAAAGCGATCAACTCCGCCTACCAGCTCGCAAAGCACTGCCGCACACCCACACACGTCTGCAAAAACAATCCCGGGAGCACATCGCACTCCTGCTGGTGCCAATCCGCGTCAGGGACGGTTGCGTTCATCGAGGGTTCGAGAAAAAAACAGGTCGACGTTGGTCCGAAAACAAGCACAGGAGTGATTGCCAACATAACAGCAGTCGGGCGCCCCACCCGTGAAGGGGAGGTTTAGGGCTGCCTGTGTTGGGGGATTTGTTCTGGAGCTCTTGCAGCAGCAAGCGAAAATGAGGCTTCTCGAACCTAAAAAGCTCCTTGAAGTCGAAGCCTCCGATAGCGTCGAAGATGTTGTACATCGGGTACACACCCTGCAGGGTTGTAGGCGCTACTAGCTCTTGGTAGGCCTCCAGTTTGACAAGACCAAACATGGTCATCACGAGAAACAAGTCCTCCTCTCCGGCCAATGCGCAGAGCAGGGCCAGAGCCATGATCTGCATGCATTCATCATACCGCTCATAGCGGATTCTACCTCGTTCAAGGCGCGCCATTCCCTCGGTTCGTAGCGTTTACGGGGTGGAGGCTCCGAGGCTCAGCCGTTAGGTTTTCGGTCTTGCGCTGAGTGTTTTTTTAAAATCGAGATTTCGCCGCTGCTGAGCTCCGAAAGGTAACAAGCGGCGAAATAAGTTCGTGTCAAAATATCAACCGTCACTTTTTTTTGACCCGAGCTGCCTTGTGTCAATATTCTCGGGTCAAAAAAAGGTAGGAACCCTAAAATGCATAAACGAAACGATACATTTTCGAAAAGCTCTTGACAAGACGGTTTCAACGCCGCCGTTTTTGGCGCTGTGACTGTTCCGGCAGTTGAGAAATCGAGCGTCGAAAATCGGTCAAGGGGGTGTGTTATCTTGTGTCATATACGGTACATCTGAAAATGTACATGTCTACATGTTGGAGCGCTCTAGGACACGAGCTACATGCACGAGACTGTTCCGATGTGTACAGAATCCTCACATGAAAGACATGCTCCTGCTATGTATACGTGTTGGGGCTAGAGCCAGACAGCCAGCTTCAGGCAACATACACTCATCGTGGGTGGTACTCTCGCGACTCACTTGATTCCGTAGACGCTTCGTTATGACCGCGCCTCCCGAGCTCCTCTCGGCTGCCTTGGCAAAGTCGACCGCCCCGATACAGCGAGAGTGATGGTACCCGCAGAGACCGGGGTGCTGCTGCGCCGCGGTCTTCCTTTCCGCAAGGTTGTTGATCTCGGGTAGGGGCTGCGGCTCTGCTGCTCCGTGTTGACGGTAGCGCTGTCCTACCGCCCGGGCTGCAGCCGTGGCGTCGGGAAGTTGGTCTGGCGTAGAGTTTGCGATCACCAGCAGCTCATCCCAGACAACACGTGGAGCCGTTTCGGGATGCCATTGGTCTGCTATGTGCTGCCAAAACTGAGCAACTTCCTCTCGGTCCATGATGATGGTAGTGATTGGGTTACTTCTGCTGCTGCTGCTGTTGTGCCTAAAGGTAGAGAGGTAGGAGCGGCAAGGAGACTATCGTCCCGGGCCACTTTTCGCTCACAATAGCAAGAGTGTTCGGGACTTCAGCTCCGATCACATCTCCGATCGTCCCGCTTTATCTGTAGTGTTGTTGTTGTTGTTGTTGTTGTTGTTGTTGTTGTTGTTGTTGTTGTTGTTGTTGTTGTTGTCTTCACATTAAACCGTATGTCAGGTGATAAATGCCAAAATCTAGCAAAAGACTCTCAGCCCGTGGTCACGAAAGTGCTAGAGCCATCTACCATTGCTCCATGCGGCGCCGCTGTAGTCAGCCCGAGTGTAGAAATAGATAATTTTGCACGAGTTTATTCTATTTGACCCGATATTTGTTATTTTGGGATTCGTACACACAGCAGTTGGATTTAGACTTTTCTTCGTTTTGTGCCCAAGTTATCGCTAGCGCACAGGAGTAAGGGTCCACCTTGCGATGCCTCTCGACGGATCCCCTCTACGTGTGCGTCTCGGCTTCTCTTTTTCACCGAATGTCATACCACGAGGCCTGCTGCTACTGCTACTGCTGCTGCTTCTGCTGCTGCTGGTGTGCTACCCACGGTTGGATGTTTTTTCGGATTTTTTCCCGATGCCACAATTGATCGTGCGTGGACATGTCTCGTCGATCCCAACGAAGGAGCACTGAAAGTGGAACGTTAGGAGGTACCATGCCTCGCGGGCGGGGTGTGCTGCCTCGGCCGCGGGCGGACAGCAGTGATATTGCTAGAGCTATGCCATGTGGATACCCATGTTCAGTCCACAGCAGCAGGAGTGCGGGGTGAAGACACGCTCTCGATCGAGCCCCCCACTTCACGCCCAGCACGTACAGCAGTCACCGATTAAAGCCCTGATGTGTGTTGGTCTGCTGTGATATACCAAAGGTTTGTGTGAGCAAGGGAGTGGCGTGTGGATGCGACCATGTGTACTCGAGTGCATGTGGGAGATACCAGGAGGTAGGTGTGTAGAGAACGGGAGACGGTGGTTGAAATATGTATGTTCCACGGCAGCCTTGATGATGTCAGCGGTCTCTTCGCCCCGTTAAGAAGGAAAAAACCCTCGAAAGATCCAGGGAAAACCCAGTCAAATGAACACTACATGCAAATCCAACACCGAATCAGCGGTGCGCGTAGCACCCTCGTCCGCAGCGGCTGCAGCCCCCAGACTGCCGCTAGTCACCCCAACGGCCGAAACGTGCGCGGCGCTCTCGCGAACGTGCGTAGCAGCGCTCTGGTCAGTAGCCTCTATGCTGATAGGCTGTGTCTCGGTTTGGGCGTGCGGAGAGAGGCTGTGCGTGGTACAGGGCCGCCGGCCGGGCAGCACGTCCTGTCCGGTGTGCGCCAGGGATTATGATTTGAAATCGGTTCTGTAGAGTAGGTTCTGCAGGCGTTTTTCGTGTTGGCAGAGGCCTCTTTCCTGACAAAACGTTGGCAGATTCCCGGGCGCCGGGGAGAGCCGTGAATATCGGGTCAAATAGAATAAACTCGTGCAAAATTATCTATTTCTACACTCGGGCTGACTACAGCGGCGCCGCATGGAGCAATGGGACCGGAGCATGCGGGCGACATCGACCCGTGGCGCACGGACAAACATTTCTATCTGTGTTGTCATTTTTTTTCGTTTTTTTCTGACTTTCCGTGTTAGTTTTGTGTGATGACATCGACTGAAAAAAAAAAAAGTAAGCGGCGGACAAAGAATATCGGCTTACACAGAAGAGTAGCGCGACCGGCGTACATCCACCCGAGGCTAAAGGTTTAAAGCAGTAGAATATTCCAATAGCTATCTAGGGAACCAAGATTTGCCAAATTCCGTCCACTGTAGGCTTCAAACTTGTCGGCGCAACCCGCAGCCCATCCCCGAAAAAAACGTGCCGATGGTATCTACGCGGCGCAACCACGCTGCTGTGCACCCGCCAAAGACACCAAGCGCGAGAACGCGCCCACCACGGCATCAATCGCCACAATAAATTGATGGAAGACGGACTGAGCGCCAGAAAATAGATTGAATAAGAATTCAACTTGATTGGTGCAGAGGATCGAGGTAGGCACGAATGAAATTGAAAACTTGCGTTCGCATACAGGCACCGTGCTTATGCCCCGACACAGCGCCGGCAACACCGAGCATTGATTAGATTACTATTTTAGCTGCTGATCTTTTGGTTGTATAGCCCTTAGAATTGCGCTGCAATAACAACCATAGGTGGAGTACTCGTGAATGGCGTCAGCTAGGTTTGAACTGAAACTGCTGTTGGTGGTGCCCCTCTCTTGTTGCACCGCACACGCTTGTGTCTGTTGGAGTCGGGACCCTCACCTAGCAGTCAGTGCACAAGTCTCCTGATTCCCGAACAAAAAAATGCAAAAATGGTCGAATAGCGACTGTAGCACGGCACCTACAGTAACAACGAGTTTGGCCACTGACAACGTCGTGCCATGGGGTGTCGCATGCAGGCACGACCGGCATATGCATGTAAACATTTGTCTCGATGTACATGAGGACGCCCTGAGCGTTGGGTGTGGCGAGAACGCCGGAATCACTTACACACGAACACCGCACACAATACTGGGCCAACGCACACAGCACCCCAATAATAGGTATCCGGCAGTCTTCCGGAAAAACGCGGAGAACAAAATACCATGTCAATAAACAACGGACACCCGGCTTGGCAGAAGAATAATACCCCCCCCTCCGGTCCACCTCCCTGCGCAACTACGTGCGCAACTAGGAACGAAAATTCGCCGCGGGCGGAAACGCGCGCCCTAGCCGGCTTTTCAGTATTAGGCTGAGTTCGTCCGTCTGATATCTCGTACCCCGGGGTCGTCGTATTTCGTGGATGGATGCATCCAACGAAAGTAAAGCACGGACGGACCTGTTCAACCATCAACAAGGACGCGCGAAGTATGTCATTGAAACATAGAGTAAGCATAAATCAGACCACACGATCTTTCGGTACGACGTGGAGATCTGACGTGCAATAATGGCGGGCACGACATCTACAACCCCAATCCCAAGGAACGATACAGGGCCGGCCCGCACTTAAGAACCTCCTAGACTATATTGGGCGAGGCTCAGTTCTTATTGGCTGCCCCAACCCGAGCACCAGTTCTTATTTGCCAAGTTCTTATTTCGTCGTCCATTCATCTCCAGAAAGGGGCGTTCTTGTTCTTACAGTATTTTAACCATTTGCTACATTGTCGCCTGTCAACCATGAGCAACACCAGTAATGCTGTCGATACAAGAAAATACCAAGGCATGGAGCAGCAACGGTCCTGCGTACCCTTCCTGATCTACTAATGCTCTCAAGCAAAACCCAGGAGCCTACAGCCGCATCCGAACCTCCGCTGTACTTGTCTAAGGGCAACTCATCTTGCGCGTACTCTGGTCTAGCTCCAGCTGCACACAGTAGTCGTACAGGTGGCGAGTGTCCTCCTGAGATTGTTGAGTGATCAGCCCTCCAAACCACCCCATGCCCAGCCTAACGAGCACTCCACGCAGCGAAAGCAATCTGTCAAGAGCAACGGGTTTAGCTTCTTGAATACGAAAGCCTGCCGGGATCTCCATTCCCTGTACCTCATCCTCCGGGTCTTGTGGGTCCATGCTGTCGTCGTCGTCCAGAAGAGCTAGCTCGTCGGTCTGGGGTTGAGAGATGTCTGCGAACGAGGCAACGGGAAACACAAGAAGTTAGGGTGACACATCGACAAACTCAACCTGAACTTATCATAATTTGAGTGTAGCCGTGCGCGGAAACAAGCCATTGTCAACATGAAGGACATCGTCATCAACAAAAAGAATATGAAGAGTTGGTTTAATGCAAAACAAACTTACCGCCGTCGTCTTCATTGCTGGAGTCAACGCCCTCCATGAGCGTCTCACGTCCTCCATCGCCCTCCTCCGCCCGCCACTCAGGCTCATCGTTGCCGTTCTCCGAACCTTGTTCGTCGTCGCTACTGTCTTCATCGTTAGCGAAGGTATACGGCTTGTCCAAACCTTCCAAGGTGATTCGATCATCGCCCGAGCCGTCCACGGTCATGGCCATCCCGCACGTTTCGAAAAGACGATATCGGTAGGCCTGTTGGCTGTTGAGTCTTGCCATGGCCGCTCTCATCCACTGAGTGATGAGGACGCGCCGATCAGAAGCTGTCAGCGACGCGGTTTCCCACCTCTCGAACCAGAGCTGGAATTGACCGTATTTGGGAACCCTGGACTCTCTCTCCGCGACCGTCATGACTGCCGACACGTCGGACTCATCCGGCGCCCTGTACCGCACCGGCCCTTGCAGGAGCTTGCGAAACAGCCGGTGGAAGCGCTGGATCTTTGGAAGCCGCTCTTCGACAGACTTGTTCTTGAGGTTGGTCCGGCGTCTTTTGGACAGGTTATGCCTCTTGGCCCATTTTCGCGCCCACCTGAAGGATGCGCGGAAGGACGCCGCTCGTTGATCCCCAAGGTACATCTCTCGCACGAGCTTCCGGAACGTGATCGTCAGCCACAGGGTCGACACCTTCAGCTTTCTCTTCCGCCGCTCCACGAACCCCTTGTACAGTCGCTTCTCTGCCTCAGGAAACCACCGCTTAGGCTGCTGTTTGGCGAGGAGGCTCTTCTTTACGTCATCGGCTGTCGCCGCGACCAATTCCTTCTCGTTTTTGGCCCACTTCACTATATTGCTGTAGGGAATCTTGAGACGATCCTCCAAGAACTGAAGAGGCGTGCGCTGCTCCTCCTTCCAGAGGTCTTCGGCGTTGTCTTGGAGGATGGCAGCTGGTTGATCGCGTGGGCTTTGAACCTGAAGTCGTATCGCCTGCGCTTGGGAGCCCCACTAGTGTCCTTGGGTTTGCGGTCCATAAAGCCGTTGCTATCCAAGTCGAGATCGAGAAAGCGCTTCCGCTGGAGGACAAACGAAGCCGACCCCGTCGCATGATCGAACTTCACGTGCAAATAACGCCCAGGCCCGGCTACTTCCCACGGCAGGACACTCCCTCCGACGTCCTTCCGTAACATGCGCCGCAGCCGCACGCCGTTGGACATGGTTACACTGCTGTGCTACGTTCTCACGTGGATTCCAAGGCCTTGCTCGTTCACGAAGGTCATGGGACAGTGAGGGCAAGATCGACGGGACTCCGGGGTCGGAGGTGGGAAGCTTATACCGGATATGAGCTCTTTCACTCCACCGCGAGTCCGCTCAATCTGCATGACAAGGTGGAAGTAGGGCGAAGTTGCCGGGGGGGTCATTCAACGAGTACCGTCATGTATCGTTCGCTATGGAGTGTGGCGCTTTCGACCTCAAACCTCCGTGGAGAGCCGAAAGCTGTCTGTTTCGTTCGTGACTATTCAAACTAAGTATCAAGCAGAGAACATGAACTGTTGTGACGCCAAAACAAAGTCGCCGGGATCCAAACTAGAATATCTGTCCACACCATTTTCTTTTAATGTTCTGGTCTTGCTTGAAAAGAAGGGGGATGGACGAAAATTTTACCTTATCATGTCTACACAGCAGCAGCATTCCACGTATCTGAAAAAGGCACAACTTTCCGGAGTATTTGCACCGAAGCTGGCTCTTGCCAGCAGACGCAGTTGACGATAACTCGACACTCCTCCACTTGCTTGGGCACCTACAGCAAGAAACGGCGTGCGAAACGCAGTCGTTGCCAGCAGAGGCCAGCCCCAAAATTAAAAACCTTCTCTTTTTTTTTTTATTACGCGCCGCTACTGAAAAAAAATGGCCTTCATAATGTCATCATTTTCACGGGAGTTTTTCTTGAACAATGAAAATAGTGCATGTAGACTACACCGGTAGCGAAAGGTAACTGCTGTGTGCTCACCGGTCCTCGGCTGGCAATCGCGGACGCGTTGCAGATGTTGCGGCCTAAAGTGCCTTTGGCAGCTCTCTCCCTAGCTTGCTTCCCGCGATCCACGGCCTTTCTCCTCGCGGTACCTGCAGCAGCAGGTGGTGGGTGCTGAGTCGGCGGTGCAACACCTCGCGCGCTGCCGGCATCTTGTTGGGATGAAGAGGACAGGCGGGTGCTGCTGGTAATACCCTGCGTTTCGCCGTCAATCTGCGTGACCCACTCTTCTTCGTCGAAGACACCGTTCTGCTTCAGCCCCCACGCGCTCTCGATGGCGTCCCAACGCTCCTTCGCAACGGAGTTGCCCGCCTTCACGTGTGCTTTGATTGGCTCGAAGTGACGGTCAAGAATCAGACCCCTTTGTTTCAACTCTGCAAGTTTGCCAAGCTCTTTCAATATCCCACGGGACAAGGGATTGCACTAGGACATGATCCCCTTGCACCGCAGGCAGCTCGTGGCACGCTGCACGTTGCGTGGCACGCACGCTTTTCTCGGGGGCACTGAGGGGCACGACGCGTGCGTACAATGCCCACCCTCCCCGTCCAAAAAAATACAAGTATTGATATGTGGGGTATATACCCCTCCCAAGTCCAATACTCCCCCCCCCCGGTGTTTGCCATCGGGGTTGGGTTTTCGTCGCTTGGAGGGATGCGAGGTCAATGGTCTAACGACTACGGCATGCACGACTATGAGTACACCCCCCCCCCAAGTCCAATACTCTCTACTCTGGGATCACTCCCCCCTCTTCCCTCCCTCACCCTGCGAATATTCTTATCTGGCAGCTGGTGCATTGCTGTCGTTCGTATTTGTAGCAGCAGTTTTGCACCTCAGGTGTGTGTTCTTGTTCCTAACAGGGCGTCCAGGTGAGCACGTGTTCTTATCGGTAAATTCTTAAGTTTTGGATGTTTTGAGCATCAAATTCTTACGTGCCATATTCTTAAGTGCGGGCCGGCACTGTATATGTACCTGCCTGAAGAAGTAGCCAGATGTCAGTTCCAGGCGTCGGTTACGAGGTCCGCAACACCATCATTTGTGTCTCCGCCACACCAGTTGGAGTCGACGCTCTTCTCGCTCACCCCGTCAGATTGCCCATCGCTGGTGTCAGATTCGCTCGAATCCAACTTGATCAAATCGTCGAGTGCACCGACCGAACCGTCGCACTTCTCGTCCGACTCGGGGTCCTCCAACTCTGCGTTCTTAGATTCCGCGGCCTCGCCGGCGGAAACGTCGTTGCTCACAGGCGACTCGGGGGTTCCCGCCTCCACGTCGTTCTGTTCCGCTCCGTGCGATACCTGCTGCCTCATAGAGGCGGCAAAGAGTGCCGTGGCATTGGCAACACTGTAGGATGGCCGTGATCGACTCTCGGTGGGCGGTTGGGGTCGGGAGGTACCCTCTACCCGCCTCGTTTGAGGAGCACCCACCGTAGGCCGTGACGCAGACCCCCCCCCTGCTCGTACGGGTGCCGGCACCGCCCGCCGTAGGGTGCAACGATTTCTGCAGCCGCAAGCGAGCGAGCACTTCTTGTTCTTGCACCTGCACCTGTTGCACAGGGCCGTGTTCGGATTGCAACCACACGCTAGCGTGACTGTCTTTCGGTCACGGGCGATCTAAGCATACTCGGACAGGTCAAGCACGCAGTTCTTCTTTGTGAGTTTGTCGCCGTTGCTCCCCTTTCCTCGTGGGTCGACGCTCCATCCTTTGCCGGCAAACTCTGTCACCGGCATGGTCTCCCTCAGGCCAATCTACCAGTACCGGAAGTTGGCGTTCCCTCGTTCTGCCTGCTTGCGCAAGGAAAAAAAAAACGGACAGGTGGCTGTCGTCTTCTTCTTGGGGAGTCGGAGGATGGCGTAGCGGATCACGTCCACGTAGCCCTCGACGTCGCCGTCAACGCTTTCGACCAGCTGGGCTGGAGTCAAATGAGCAGAGTCAAACGCCGCTTCATCCTTGTAGACGAACATGGTCGCCAAAAGCTTCGCGCATTCGTCGACTTCCACTGCCCACGTGCTATGCTGCTCCTCGAAGAACAGCGGCTTGTCAAACAAACCCTCCGTTCGCACGCTCTTGAGGGCCAGTACTCACATCTTGTCGAACGGCAGCCCGGAAATTGCCGGGAGGTAGTCACAGCCCGACTCCAGGAACGTTAGGACGAACAGACGGACCTTGTCGTTGTCCGTGGGAATCCAGCCCCTGAACGTCAATGGCGGCCACGCGGACTCGCTTCCATCCTGGAGTTCGCAGATGCTGGCGAACATTCTGTTCATCCCCAGGAACAGTGTGGAGGGCGCGACTTAGACTCGACGAACGCAATATATAATTGGGTAGTATATATCCAGTCAGATGCGATAGGTCGTGGAAAAACCAGAAAGCAAGGAGGGACAAAGTACAAAAAATGGTGTCTTACCTTGCGGAGTTCAGACTCGAACTCGTTATACCGCCGCGCTCCGTCCCCCCGGTCCCGCTCCGGCCCCATAAGGAAGTCCTCTACCTTCAGAGATCCCCGGCTCTTTACCAACCACCAGTCGTCCATTCGACCTACGTCGGGCCCTACCGTCAAAGCCGTCGCAGCGATGAAGGGAAGATGAAGCCCCTCCCCCTGGCCAACTCCGACCCTCGGGTCAAAATCACACTTGTCCAGGGGAATGACGGCGCACTCGGCGTCAAGGCTCAGAAGGTCCTTGTCCTCTACGAACTTTGCGTGGTAATCTTCTCGGTGCTGAATTTGCGACGTCGTCGCCCACAAACCGTGCTCCGCTACAAAGTTGATCACATCGCGACACGTACCCTTAGACTTTGCCCACTGAGCCCCTTTGATGTCGTGCGAACCCATGTACCGACCACGCAAAATTGCCTTCACCACGACCGTACACATCACCAGAAGCCTACGATGCGTGGATCGCCTGTCACGGTTGAGGCTGTCGACATGCCTGGCCTGTTTCTCGGTTCATGGCCCTAACGACACCGTCGCTGCTGTTCGACTGACCTCGTTCTTCTTTTCTCCATCACCGTTTTCGCCCTCCAAGTCGCCCGAGGTGGTAGGATGCCGTCCGTCTCGCCCTTCGGTCTGCCATACTCAGGGCTCTCCAGGATGTTCGGTCTCTGATGCGATGATCTCGCGATACAGTGCCATGTCTGTCATGCTTTGGTACAACCCAACCAAGGACGGCGGAAACGCGGATAGTAGAGTCTCTCTGGGTGGCTTCACTTTCATGTCCAACTCATCGGCGTAGCGATACTCCTCGCGTGTGCCGGTGGCGTTCTTCAGGGCAGGGTCACTCTCCACGTCGGCTCGAACAATTCTACCAGCTGCCCGCACGACGGACATCCGTGCGTCTGCGTCCTCCGTGTCCTTCTCGACTTCCTTCAGAATCGACTCGAGAGACCCACCCTTATCAGCTAGCTGGTTGGATGGTGGCTGTGCGGGTGCACTATGTCGAGCACGCAGCATCAAGTCAACGAGATGCTTGTCCCCAAGGGTGTTTGGGGAGAGGAAGAGTTCCCGCTCGCGTGCGTCTCCTTGCGCTCCGTTGGCTCGGACCAATCGTGATTTGCTCCCGGGGTCTGCGTCCATCCCGGTAAACAAGTCTAGGACGAGTTGTCGTGTGTACTTCCCCGTTATCTCCTCCATGCCAACCTTCGCGCGTTCAGCAGCTAGCCAACGGGCGACGTCCTGCCAGCAAAGGATGTCACCTCGACCGAGGACATCATCCACCATCCTGCGCACCGTGCTCAAAGGCTCTAGAAGCGTCGGCGCCTCTTCCCCCGACTTACATGGCCTGTTCGCTGGTTGCTCTGTCGGTTTGTCGTCTCTCTTCATGCCGTTCAACCAGCTCTGGTAGCAACGGCCCCACCACCAATCACCATCACGCACCATCGCATTACCCTCCGCGACATGATCTCCTGCAGCATCCATGGGATACCACCTTGCGCGGCTCCTGTCCGATTTCCGGTACTTGCATTTACTGCATTGGCGAAACTCTGCCTTCCTTTCTTCGGCGAAAGTAGCTAGGAAGCAGTCTGGGCGTTGGCAGAGGCAGTCCTTGCTAGGACTAAAGGCTCGCACGAGAGCTAGAGGCAGGGGTTTCTCTCCTTGTCTCAACGCGGCTACGAAGGTTACAGCTCGCCCTAACCGGTCCGCGCGGAGGTGCGTGAAACCTTCGTCGTCCGGAATCCTGTGGCATGCCGAACATGGTCTCTCGTCGACCGAGTGCACTACACTCCCGGGGCATGTGCTACACTCGGTGCCAGGGTGGTGTGTAACCCAACCGCATTCCTGAAGGCCGCACGCCTTTTTTCGCTTCTTGCCTGTTGGTTGGCCTACAGGTAGCACCGTCGGGGCAGAAAGTCTCCTACCCGCATTCCGCTTGCTTGGCAGATGACTGGTTTGTCTTGGGTTCCCGCCGTGGCTCCTACGCCGAGTATCAACGGGGTGATTCCCCCCGGCCTCTGATCGTCGCCGTTCATCTTCGGCAATCGCGCGATCTCTACGAGCCGTGGCCTCCCTCCTGGCCTCGCTCTGATGCTCGTAGCAATCCTCCTCCTCGAGCTTGCTCTCAAGTTTGGGTAGGCACCCACCCGTGACACTAGCAGAGGGCCTCCTCTTCCTCCTCCGTTTCCTGCCCGACCGGGTCTTTCCTCCCGTTCGATAGACACGTGCACCGGAATCTCCCGCATCGCGCTTTGTCGCGGCGATGGGGGTGTGCGCCTCGATGGTTAGGTTACCCTGTCTCCTGCTCCCGCTCCGTGGACGTTCACTTGTAGATTCTCCTCCTGTGTCGTCGACCACTGGCTGACGCGGGGTTAGCGCGCCTTCCGTGAGCTGTCGAAGGGTTGGTATCGGCTGCATCCCCCCGCTTCCGGGTGTAGCAGGGCTCCCAGACTGGTTCCGAGGCATCGCCTGTGGCGTACCCGGTAGAGCTGTGGGGCTGTTCACCCCACAAGCCTGTTGGCCCACCCCACGTCTCTAACGATTCATCTGGCAGCAGCTTGACCTATGCCGGCCGTTTGTCCATGCATTCGAGTTACAAAAACAACATGTTTCTCTTGAACGTACAGCTAAGCCAGGCGCACGCTTATTCGTGGGGTGGGATCTTCGGTGCCTCTTCTAACCCATGCATAACATCTGATCCTCTTTACAGGCGCGCCTATGCACCTGAAAATGCAACGGACTGAAACCTGTTCGAATACGTAGTTTATGTACCTGACCCTGTGATGCTGCGGCGTTTAAATCTTTATGCACGGACTGGAGTGTCTGCAGCTATGCGCCCCGAGTCATGTTCGGCTCGTATTTTGGCAAAACACCGAGCGTAAATATTGAACTCGAAGAAATCGTACTTGCCCTCTTGAAGCCCAATTTGACTGAAACTCGTAGTGATTGGCTGACCCTGAGCTGGAATTACTGCATCGAGCATTTCCATCGTATCTTGGGTGTGAATGGTGCATGCAACGGATGGATGTACATGCGCAACGTGCAAGAGGGCTGAGTTCGGACCCAAGGCGTGGACTCTCCTGAAATTTGAATTTTGGACACACCATGCTTATCCCCTGCCGCACTAAATCGCCTCAAGCCTTTTGCATTAGGTGGCAACACAACCTAGGTATATGGCGGCAGCATGGTTAGGCTGCAATATAACTACCTCGCGCCGAGGTCGGGTCGCGTGTGAAGCTCGCTCCTTGATTTTGGAGCTGCTGCATGGTGGTACGCTCTAGCTAGAGTCCAACTTCATCACCCTGCCGTGCGCACTGGACATATAAAACATTCCCTGGCGTGCTCTGGCATCTTATTTACATCTCTTTTGAAATCTGGACAGTTTATGCTCTCGTTCGCCCTCAAAAGCCGGTGCTAGGTGTGGAGGTCTATTGCCAAGCGAGCCGCCTGATCAGAGGGGTTCCCACCAGGGGCTTTTTTTCCGTTTGAAGCGTTATTCAGCGTGCTTACTTTTTTTTTTTTCAGTCGTGCAGCACTGTGAGGTGCTCCGAGGAACTGTCGGCGCCAAGAGTAGGAGATCAACGCAAGGGAGGGAGATGGGTTGGGTGTGCGGCATGAAAAGAGGCAGCATGCTTGGTACTTAAATCTGTTATGTGTCGTCGCGTGCTTACTCTTCGGCCGTCGTTGCGTATGACTACAAGCTTCGTGCGTGCTAGGTCTGCCTCAGCCCTCGCATATGCTCCGTCGTGGGCTTCCGATTCACTTTGTCACCCTGCACTAAGGTGCCCTTTTCTCGGGGTTGGAGGGGTTGTTCCAAATTTCAAAAGAACCGTGAAAAGCCCTATCTCCAGGTGCAGAAATCTAAAGAACGCTTTTTTCTTTTACATTATTCCTCGACTTTTTGTTTCGAAATATCCAGAAATGTTCGTTCATAATCTACTTTCCAGAGAAAAAATCTGAGACCGGATTTTGATAGCTCTCGGAATTTGCCAGATGGATTAACTTTCCAATTTAAAAAATATATAGAAACGACGAAGTTATACCCCGTAAATCGATTCTGGCAGGGCATTTTGTTCAAAATAGATTGCGAGAACCAAGTTCACGATTTGAAAATAAAGTGCGGCAAACGATTCCTCTCGAAATTCCGCGGATGGATTTTCTTTCGGAATTTTCTCAATAAAAACTAGAGTTCATGAGGAATCCATCATTTGCATGCCGCTGTGAGACGAAAAGTTCGCACGCGCACACACCACACATACATTCCACAAAACAAGCAGCACACAAGCGGCCACACACAAGCCCCACACATGGGGCGACCCGAGAAAAAAGCGACAAAGAGGAAGCGGAACGAGGATGATGGAACAATCGCGCGATTTGCTCAGGCGGCAGCACCACCAGCAGCAGCACCACTCGTTGGTTCTGACCATGAACCAGATGTTCCAATGGATAGGTGTTAGAATTTAGCATAGATAGACTATGTATGCAAGGATGCATGTGATCTGATCAGTTGTGTGTGTAATGTTTGTACAAATGCAATAGGATACATACGTGTTGTTTGATATTCATACCATATGCATATGCATAAATGCATTTGAGAATACATAAAGCAGTTATAATTGGTGCAGAGCGAGAAAAGCCCTGGGAGTTTCCGTGGTATGATTAGGGGGTTCCGTGGTACGATTAGTGGGGTTCGTGGTACGTCTAGGAAGTTTCGTTCTATGAGTACGGGGTTCCGTGGAGTGGTTGGGGGTTCCGTGGTGTGATCAGGGGGCACCGTGGTAGGATGAGGGGGTTCTGTGGATCATTTTGGCCAAAAATGTTGCATTTAAAAAAAAATCTACAGCTATCAACGTAGCTCGACGAGGTGATCACGATTTTTTTTTTTTTTGCCTTTCGACAATTGCAGATTTACCTCAGAAAACTCAGGCGGTTTCTTACGGTTTGAAAAATCCCAGTTGAAAAATTGATATTTTCAATTTCCGGCCGAACAGAGCTTACTACGGTTTGAAAAATCGATTTTTTCGAGAAATGAATTTGGAACTCGAGCCGAAAAAAACTGGAAACGCTCTGCGCAGTTGAAAATTTCAGAAATTTTCAACTCGCGACCGAGTTGAAAAAGCTAGTTGGAAATCCAAACCTAGGGGGGGGGGTGCATC